AAGATGGTTATTTCAATTCTCGGAAATTCTGATGAAAAGTAAAGTACTTTAACTTTATATATTTCCTGATTCTCTTTTCTGATGGCAATTCATGTTCCTCACACCAACATCCTTATTCTTCTTTAGAAAAATCCTTCTTTTTCACTCATACTAGCATCATCATCAACAATTCACGCCTCGTCAACTTCCATTAACTTTTGAAAATGAAAGAAGAAGTAAAAGTAGAATGAGCAAACTACTGACTTTGATGATGGAGTTTAAATTGCTAAATTAGTGTTTTGCCAAGGCAAATAATGTGCAAAGACAATCTACTCTCTCCTTACTACCTACAAAACTAACTGTATACTTTCCATTCTCTTTCACTCATAACACACTCTTTCATACTTTGTCTCTTTCTTGTTCGCTCGACTCCTCCTGTCTTGTGCAAAATATCATCTTGTCTTGATTTAATTAAAACTTTTTTTTTTTTGAAAAACACTCTTTTCTCTTTAAAGGAAGTAAGTTGGATGGATTTTTTAAAATTTTAATTAATGTTGCGAACTGTGAGAGATTGAAAACAAGAGGATCGGATTTATTTTTAATATAATAATGCAAAACTTAGAAAACAATTGGGTAGTAAAGTCGCTGATTTTCAGCTTAAAATAAAACATTTTTAAAAGTCATGTGCAACCAGGTTTTTTTAAAGGCTTAAAAATTTATAAAATTTGTCGCTATAATTTTCTCGTAAAAACAAGATTCATGAATTATCATTTTGTATTTATAAATATTTAAATTTAGCAGAATAAAATCTGTTGTAATACCTTTGTAAGAAGTACGAGATTAAATTTGTTTCCAAAATTAGAAGAATTTTTTATGAATATTTTATTTGACAGTTTTTATTTAGAATTAGAATTTCTTCATTTTACCAATTGACTATCAATCTTGAGCGTTATAATTAAAAAAATATTTTGCAATAACCATGTTTTCAGACAATACTTTTATATAAAGATTCATTTGTTGCGCCTTGAACTAATCTAGAATGAAGCAGACAACAATCTGTGATTGTAATGAACCTGATGAATAAAATTAAGTCAAGTTAGGATAAAGCAATGAAAATTTCGTAACGTCATCATCAGAGTGATTTATTGAGTGGAAGAAATATTACTAACGACGGTTGAGAGGGCTGTGATTTCAATATCTACAAAGTATGTAATTCTAAATTTTATTTGAAACTAGGTTGTTCAAGGATTAACAGATTATGTTGTCGTAACAACTTTCCATTACAGATTTAGAAAAATCTTCCTCCGAAAATAATTGAATTATTTTAATTTCTTCTGTAAAATCTCAACTTAATTTATTTAATACAAATTATTCCTAAAGAAAGTTCACCAAACTACGTGACAAGATTATTTTATGAAAAATTATTAATAATTTTTCTCGCTGTAGATTCCCGCCTACCTCTTTTACCTAAATACCAAAGTAAACTCGTTCCCATAAGCAACTGCTGATGTAATACCTCAAGTTCACGAAACATTATTCCTTAATACAAGACATACGACAAACTAAAAGTACATCTGTCAGTTAAAAGTCAAATTTTATGTTAAGAACAAGAGTGCGAGAGGAAAAGGCAACAAATCATGTGGGATTTCATCTGGCTTAATAAATAAATAGTCAAATGTTGTATAGACAATAACAAATAACAATATATATTCTTAGATTGACATAAAAGTGTTTAGCCACAAATGAATATAAATGATGCAAGAAGGGGGAAATGGTACTTTAAAAACAAAAAATAAATTATCAATAAAAACTTTAAAGAACTTTGAGTCAACATTCCCCAATAAACATGTGTAGGTGTTTCAATAGAGCTAAAAATAATGTTTCGAAAGATTCAGCCTACGAGCAAATTTTGGTTATATATCCTTAGCATATTTAAATATTAAATTGCTGAATAAATGTCACTTGAGATTTTCTGATTCTTCTGTATAACCTCAAAATGACATTCGTAGACAGAGAGACTGTTGCGCCAAAAAAATCTTATGACATACTTAAAATTTTAAAGACACAGACTTTTTCAATAGGAATAAGTAGCTTTTTCATGCTCTATAATAGATAATTGACTATAACATTCACAAAAATTTGCACAAACACACATAATAGATAAATAAACATTAAAGGAAGGAAAATTGAAGTTAAATTTGAATTTGAGTGGCACTTGTGAGAATTTTCATTCTCATTTTCTTTCCCTTTCCATCTTCAAGATATCCAAAATGTATGTATATGCATGAGAGATACGGTAAAGCCGTCTCAAGTTTACAAAATGCTCACTTATTGCTATACGAAATGCCTTATCAATTATTTATTTTTATTTTTCGTTAGTTGCTTACTGCTTCTTTGCTATGCTTGAGAAAATATCTCCGCATCCCTTTTTGCTATCTCCATCCTTATTCCATCGTACTCTCGATCACATCGTGCGTTTTCAACTGAAATTGAATGAGACAGGAAAATCGATAAATAATTACGATTGAAAGGATTTTTTTTTGGAATTTGTTGCTGTTTCATCCATCCCATCTTTTCACTTTATTTGAGTGAAAATTAGAAGTTTATATGAGATGAGAAATCTCTTTATCTAATACGATGCCATTGATATAATCATTATCACATACTTCACTTGCTTTCACTTTAATTTTGATTGACGTATTTTTTCAACACATTTTTCGGAAAACACGCATGTAACACTGCTCGATTTGACTCTTTTCATTTTTATTAATGATGTGAATGGTATGTGATCCACAAAAAAATTCACCTTGAATGTTCCACATACTTACTCATTCCATTCTGCATTAAATCTCCTGTCACTGAAATGCTTGATTATACCGATAACTTTTATGTGAATGACAATGAAATTAATTTAAACAATCGAGTTTACTTTCCGTTCAGAAATTTTTTTTAATCTTTTTTTATGCAAAATATTCTGTGGTACAAAAAATTCATAATCTCATAAATCCTCTCATATATGAATATTAAAGTTTATATTTTACATTTAAGCGTTTAATTAAAAATTAATTATACACAACAGAAGTTTTCTCTCTAACTTTGTGCTTGTATGGATATATCAACAGCATGAAAGATTTTTTTTTTGCTTTTTCCAAAAAGGGCAGAGAAAAAATTTTTTTTCGACCCCATATGATTTTTTAATAATCTCTGTTTTCAATTTTATTTTTCATGCTCCCCGCGATTTTGACGACAGATTTATTGTTCATGTGTGGTCATATGAGAGGATTGTCTACCTCTCGCAATCATATTTTTTCATTATTATTCCTAGCCATTCTTCATTCTGTTTGAATTTTTTGTCTCTATACTGTTGTTGGTAACGCAATTGCTAGATTCAAAATTGTATCAAACTGTGTAATGAATTTTCATGGAAAAGAATTAATTTTTGTGCTAAATGAATTATAAAAGAGTCTGCTGTTCATTTTTTTTTTTGGCTCTATAGTAGTAGAGGAATCGATAAAATTTTTGTCAAATTAGAATAATGGAAAGGTCTTTGAGTATCTTAAAATTATTAAAAATCTCCTTTTTAAAAATTGTTGCTGTCTCGGATTGAATATTTATGCTTACACAGCATGTATGCAATTAAAATATCATTTTATTAAAATCAAAGTTTCTTGAAAAAAAAAATAGAAATAAAGCATTATCATTATGCCATAGAACGTCCAAAAATGAGACAGGAACCAAATCAATCAATTAGGAAGATATCCAAAAAGAAATTCATTTGCGTAATTTTTCTTTTGAAGATTAATTCAACAATAAAAGTTTTAAGCATGCCAATAATGGAACCTCCTACAAGTTTCGCAAACAAGAAAGATGTTCTACATCTAACATAAAAACTAGACATATTTGCGAAAGAAAAGAAAAACTTTTCCACCTGCATTTGGCAATGAATTTCACAAGCATATATCATCATCACACTTGAATGACACATAAAGTGTAATTTTACTCAAATTATGTGTTATCAGAGTGGTCGAAATATACATATATGTATACACAAGTGCATGAGTATATGTTGATGAAAATTGCAAAAAGAGTAGACAGAGAGCGATTTAATTTGATGATTCGATGAGTTTTCACATTATTCATAAAGAAGAGAAATAAAAAATGAGTTTTCCAATCGTTTTGTGAAGGGTTCGCAAAATTGGTTATTTATGTTCAATTGAATTATTCCAAATTAGATTTAATTATACGGTCTCACTCACATTCACAAGGCCCAATGTTGTTATTTTTATTTGGATGTTGTTCATTGAAATTTTCAACATTCGAATAAGCGATGATTGCATGCAATTCAAGGGGTTTTAAATAAAAATTTTGTGTCTCATTCCCACATCACACTGAACCGACTACATTCAATATATATACTTTTTTATATTTTATTTTTCGGAAATGAAAAACGCAGAAAATGGAGTTGTTAAATTGTAAATTGAAAGTTGATGTGAGCGTACGTATGTTGATAATCAATTTTTCAATATAGACTGGTTGTGGACACACGGATACATATATAAATATGATTACTGGACATGCCTCACGGTTGAATTTTCCAATTTTCCTATATAGTAATGAAATATGTGGTAAAACATTCTGAAATTAAAAAGGAGTTTAACTTCAGCCGAATAGGGGTTGAAGAATTAATAATTATTGAGGTACTTGCCCTCAATCATGTGGACATGCCCTTTTTGTGAGACTTGATTGTTTGTGTTTGATTTGATATTTGAAATTGTCGAGAGGTGGAAAAATTATGATTAATTCAGAAAAGGAGTGGATTTATTATTAAAATAAAATGTTTTAAGTTAACAAATTACTTGAAAAAATTTACTACTTCATAGGATGAGCAGAAAAGAACAACCATTAAATCAGGAAAAATTAATACCAATAAAATGACTTTTATTTCCAATAACATGCTCATTGATAAAGAAAAAAATTAAATTAATTTATTTTATCTGTTTTCTCCCAATCACACTCTATAGCCGCTCGAGATATGCTTCAGTTTTATTGCGAGCAAATTCCAGGCGATGCTACACTTCATAGTCTGTTTAAAATTGATTCCGAGCCTGTCAAGTGTCCAGCGCCATTGAAAGGTATGAACATGTTTTTTATTTTGTTTTATAGTCTTTATCTTGTCACCTCCTGTGAACATTTCTCATTCCCTAAATGGGAACTATGCCAACGTCTGGTGCTTCTTTTGCACTTATTGGAAAAAAAATTGTCGTGACATGAGTGAGGAGAGAGAAGAACACCAAAAAACCAATCAATTTTCAATAAACAGGATAAAAAAATTTATTGTAGGCACACACTAATGGTATTTTAATTAAAATTTTTGCTCCATATTCTTTCTGGCTTCCTCCACACTCGCTCACTTCAAAAAAGGCAAAACAAATATCAAATAATTTTTTCATGTTCTTTGTAATATGAAACAATTTCAATATTACCATGACACCTATTGCATTATGGAAGAATTTTTTTTTTCATCTATTATTATTCGAAATTTTTTTCTCATTCAATAGGACAATTCGCATTCACATACAGTCGTGGAAATGGTGAATGCAAGAGTCCAGTATCAAAGATAAAAAGTTGCACAGAAGATACTCGAATGATGCTCAATTTTCAAGCATGTCCGGATGTTGAAGGCACTGAAAGTACTGGTGAGTATGCAAATGTCATGAACCTTAGCATTTTATGACAAAGTCAATGATTGCCCTCGAGCTATGGAGCACACAAATTTTTTAATCAATTTTTGTCTCTTCTCTAATTTCCTGCCTTATCCAACATCGTCATCAAAAAAAAAAATATATATATATATATATAGTTGAGGAATTAACCTGTTTGGCAACATGGAAGGATGGTAATGCTCATTACATTGTTGGAACCTTATCGCACAGTCGTGCAACATCGAATGAAGAGCGTTTCCGATGTTTTGTTTATGAGAAAATTAATGCAAATTCTAAACACGGTAAGGCAATTTAGGTCGTATACAGAATTGCTTTTTGTTAGAGTTTTAGTAAATGGGTAATAATGGGTTTGTGGTGGCACTTAATCATTTTTGTAAAATGACAGATTCAGTCCAGAAAAGTTTTTAATTAAATTTCAGATTCACACTTTTCTCTGTGCTCTTTGCTTCTATCTCTTTTACTTTTTAATGCAATACATTTAGAAAACTGATTTTACATCTAGATTCTCATTTAGTGAAACAATTGGCATTTTCCAAGGTTAAGTCTAATTGTTTCATTATTGGTTAGCTTAAAATAACCAAGCCTATAAAATGAAAAAAAGCAGATCTTACTTTCATCAAATTATTTATTCTTTTCATAACTGTCATCGACACGAAGTACAGTTTTCACTAAATTGTAGTGTCAATTATGGTAATTGAAGTAAAAAGTTATTATCCCCACATCTTCTCCATCTTCAATCATTTCATCCTTCTTTCTTCCACTTTGCTCTAATGTAATTTTATAAATCGTTCCTTCTTTTTCTCTCCTGCCTGCTTGTATCTGTAAACGGAAAAGTTTTGCCCTTCAATTTACATAAATTTTTATTATAAAAATATTTTCATAACTATAAATACGAATACAACAAAAACTTGTGAGTTCTGAATGGAATTGAAAAGGGAAGAGAGTGAATGCACAAGCATAACTAGATGTACAAATAGTCCAGAAGTACCATCAATTCAATAATGACTATTGACTATTGACTATCATCATCCATGCTCAATTTTCAAATAACAACAAATAAAATAAATGGAAGAAAGGAAGCAAAAGAGACAAGAGAGGTGATTTTCAAGTGGGGGGGAAGTACAAAATTCAAATAAAATCACTCATAAATGTCAATAAAATAAGTATCCGGTGTTAAAATTTTCCATGCGTTTACTCTTTACTGCAAATGATGTGTATCAAGTGGACATACAATAAATATATATATATGTCCATCTCACTTCCACTCTCGATCCTCATTCTTTTCGGCTCACTTTATTTGGTATTCAATATTTAATGATTTGTTTTATGTTTATCTATTCATTCATTCGTGTGACGATACGACTACGGAAAAGTGTGAAACAAAGGGATGGAACTATTTTCCAAACACATAAAATCTGTAACTGAATATACAGTACTCTTTTTGGAATTAGGTGGTTCCATTCTATAAGCGGGCTAGTACTTTGTGTACATCAAGAATACAAAAAGCAATTTATTCAAATGCATACAACCGAAAACTAATGACAATCAAAACTGTCTTTTTCACACACAACAAATTTATTTTTTTGTTAATATATTCATTAGCTGGTTCAAAAGATGTTGAATATCGACTAGCACAATCAGGCGATGCTACATGTACTGGTTTGGAAAATCCTGAATTTGGATCACGCATCATGACGTTAAAACGTTTCGGTCCAGCTGAGAGATGTGATTTTCCAAAATGGTTTAAGGAGCCAAAGCATTGGCACTCACTCAATGGAGAATTGTCATACAATGTACATCAAAAGTATGTAGATTTTCATCTCAATATCAATGACGAATATCATGTCAATTTGAAAAGCCTTTTTTTATGCATGCATGCTGAATTATTTAAAAATAATTTCCTTCACATCTCTTTTTTTAACTCTTTCTCGTTTCCATATATCTGTACTTACAATGATGACAATCTTTTAGACCCGATGGTACGATTCACATAACAAAAGAGAAGCCAACACAACGTTTGGAATCTAGGGCAGTTTGTGAACAAATCAACAAGCAGACAGCAAATGAAACAATAATGGTCGTTGAACAGACTACTGGATGGTATGTATATACATTTTATACTTGATGATATATATTTTATAGTGAATCTAAGTTAAATTGAATGAGTGCATTGATTTTTCAACTTCTTATTTATCGTCCTGATTCTTTGGATCTTTTGTTCCTTCTGCATATATTATACTTTGGTATGGTCGAAGAAGAAGTTGACATTTTTTTCAGATTATGTTGGTTTCTATCAGAAATAGAGAACAAGTTCTTTAAACGAGTTCAATAAAATATAAATGAATAATCTCCATAATTTTTTGATACTTAGAATAAAAACTTTGTTAAGCTCAGCTCGATTCTTAATGTACATCATCATAGTTGATTTTTATTCCATTTGATCATTATGTTTATTCAACAAATTACAATAAATAAGCGGAAATCTACGAAATCCATTAGATATTTTCCCAGAGCTCTTAAAATTTTTCTCTTCCATCTCTAATAATTTCATTTCATTTTGCTTTTTCTTTCTCTTCATCTCCTTAACTGAATGAACATTTATCCTTGTACCATTCAGTCACAAGCTCTATTACATATAATTCATGCATAAATGTATGACTGAAGCAAGCACAAAAAAAAAGATGAAGCAAAATATACAATTTTTATATCAGAATGGAAAACATCTTCCATTTTTTTAGTCCTTCTCTCTGTTTCCTTCCCTCTCAATTGCAATGCAATGTAGTATTACATAAATTGCCTTAAATGCTCATGCTTCCAAATGACTGACTATCTATAAATATGTATGCAATGTACATATTCTTCATTTGTTCCAATGGAGTAAGAATAAGAGAAACCTCAAAGCAATAAGTAAAAACAATAGAGGATTCAAAATTATAATAAAGAAAATCAGTTATGAGGAATTATAATGAAAAATATGATGGCATGTACAAATATATTTCAATACCACAATTGAGTCAGCGAGATTCGCGACGCAGAAATATTTTTTGTGTTTATAATTGTGGGAAAATTTCTTCTTCCTTCTTCATTTTTATGCCCCATTCCACTGAATGTTCACAATGTAAATTTATTATATATATGAACCTAATTGTGAATAATATCATGTACCACTACATCCCTCCTGTTTTGAATCATGATCACATTTCAAAAGATTATTATTGTTATTAATTATTAAAAAATGTCTTAAATTACGATTGAAATAAATATTTCACTCATTTTTTTACCAAAAGAATATTGAAAAAATTCATTCATTTTTTAAAGGCGTTTGAGGTGTATTGTGATAGGTGTATCCAACAAAATATCAGAGAATAAGAAATTGATGATTCTTTTCTGCTCATAATTTAATAATTTATGACTTTTTGTACACCATAGACTTTTTTAAAGCTTTCTATTTTTTAAAGCTTTAAACAGACGTTGTCATACATGTGTATAATAAAGTAATTTTTGCATATTTTTAAATGTTTTCCGTGACTCAAAATTCACTCAAGAAAAATAACAAATTTGGAAAACCTAGTTCTTAAATCAGAAGGAAATCATGACATTCTTAAGCCAGAAATCCTTTAAGTTTTACATTTTCATATTTCCTTTATCGATTTTTTCTTCTTAAAGTTTCGGGATGAAAACTTCCTATAATCATCACCATTGAATATGCAAAATCCTAGTTCCTCACACATAGAGATAATAAACTTTTTCTATCGTGTCTATATGCTTTATTCATTTTCTTGTAAAATATTTATCTTTTGTGGTTGTATGAGACATGAGTCCCAAAAAAATCTTCCCTTTTTGTCATTTTCTTAAAGTTTAGCTTCTTCTTTCTTCCTTCCTAAGACATTCGCCACAAATTCTAAGTCATGATTTCCCATTCAAAATGTCTTGTAAAATGTTCGGAGGGGTTTAAATTCCTTACACATATTTCTGCTTGTTCCATTTTATTTCCTTTAGCTTGATGTGGTGTGGCATCCACATCGTGCATTTAGCGTAGATAAATGTGAATAAATCTGTCTTTAAAATATTTTTTTTCTCCTTGTAAAATTTTCATTTGACCTCCACTGAATTCATTTTCATTCCATGCAAGATATAAAGATGTGCTCATACAAAAATATCGCAGTTTTTAAACGTCAAAAATTTGAATTTTTTAAAAACACTAACACTATAAAAGAAAATTTTTAATTTTTGTTTTGCAAAATTTTCAACTTTTTGTTAAGTTTTGTTGATACAGGAGCATTGCAAATGCTTTGCTATAATTTAAAGAAACTGACTTAAGACAAATGTTGTTGCATCTGTCGATATTTAAATGAAAACTTGAAAATAGAAAATTTTTAAAATTTTTGTTTGTATAAGTACACAAAAAATAGTATGGTCGAGTATGGTCAAGTATACTCTGTATGAGTCCATCTATATATCTTGATTCCATGTTGAGACACTTTGCTAAGGAATAGCATCTCTTTAGGATACGAGTAGTACAGCAAGAATGTCGTATAGAAAATTATAAAAAATTCCATCTTCTAAATGGAAACATAAAAATTTCATGTGATTTACATCTTAAAGCTTTAATTTTATTACGTTCGTTAACTTCTTCTATGAGACATGTATCTGTGTTATTGTCTGTGTGGGTGTATGTTGAATTATATGAGTTTGTATCGAAATTATTTTTACATCTCTCTTTCTTCGTTACTTTTTTTCCTCAATACATAGCAATACCGGCTTCTTATGCTTGGTGATATATCGACGTGACACACATGTTGTCGAATTGCAAATAGGCAACATAACGTCACGTTTAGAAGATGCCTGTGCTCCGGAAAAATTTGATGCTTCTCGTACTCCATTTACTACATTGTTAGGTAAGATATATTCGTAAGGTTTTGTACATATGTGAATATTATTGTTTTTATTACCGCCATATCATTTTGTGGGGTAAAAAAGAGACTTTATAAATATAAAAAATATATGACAGAAAGTCGCGTGCTGAATAATTTAATAATTAATTTTTTTCCTTGTTCCTTTTTCAACAACACAGCTGCTTCGTCGGAAACAGAAGAATGTCCCTTAAGTGGATCGTCATTTTCAATAATAGGTCCATTGGGTCCACCATATATGATGTCACGTCATAAAAGAAATGGAAGTAAGCAACATCATCATATTTTACACGATCCTGCACCTTCATATAAAAATCAACGTCATGATGTATTAAGTTTTCGTAACGCAGATATGTTTGAACATAATTTGCATATGCACGATCGTTTTAATAGCCAAAGGCATCGTCGCGATTTGTCAAAATGCTCAAATGCACATAAACAAAAGCGACGGTTGTCCATTGGTTGTTCACGCGATGATATCATAGAGGTTCATCCACAATGCAGTGAAACTGGTGATGAAGGTACGGAAATTTGAAATTTTTCTTTCTTATCTAAAGAGAAAAAGCTTTTCATTCCTTACGGCTAGAGATCCGAGAACTTAAAAAAAGGAAATTTCATAGCAGGAAGTTATGTGAAACTGGTGAAACTACAAAACTTTTGTAATTCACAATTTATTCTCTATCTTATACTTATTGTATAATGATCGTAATAAAAATAATAATAATGGTATGCAAACTCTTTTTCCTTCCGACATTGCCCACTTCTTCATCTTCATCTCAAGATATGAACTGTACTTTTGGGTCATGGCTAGTTATTTTCCTTGAACATGCACTTAGTTCTGTTACTGAAAAAGTATAAAAAAACGGAAAAAGAAGAAATAAGGAAAATAGGATAGGAAATTTCTACAGACTTAATTGTTAGGGTTTTTAACTGGGCTGGAATGGAACGAAGATTATCTAGTTTAAAATTTGGTTACTAAATCCGAAACTCTGAATTTGAAATTAAAAGTTTTGAGCTAATTAAGATCCACAATATTTAATTAATATTAAAGACCTAAGAGGACTAAAGAGAAATGCTTTTTCTCAAGAAGACGAAGAAATTAAATTTTTTGTTTCAGTTCCAACATAAAAAGCTAATTTTTATAATAATTTTTCATTTTTCTTCCAACCTTAACACTGAACCAAAAATGCAGAATATTTATGCCACGGCTCATGGACGGAAAATGATACAACATTTATCATAGCTCGTCACGCAGGGACCAAACATGGTGTCTGCATTAGCTTTAAACCATCAACAACGACTGACTCCTCCATTTCTGCTCAATTAATTGTCGGTGATTCATGTTATCGTGAAGCCATGTCATTAGAAATACCTGAACATCATTTAATATCGAATGTAACGGGAATCGCACGTGAGTATTTATACATATATAACATACCGTACATCTCTATCATTTCTTTGGTCTAAATACGGAAAATTGTGTGAAAAAATGCCTTCAATGAGTGAACTTAATTTTCCATCTTGGAAGCTTGATGAAAAAAATTTAATTAATTTCTTTTTCTCTCTTTTTCTCATTTTGCTGCTGCTGCTGCTTTTGCTTTCGACCACAAATTCACGTTCATCTCCTCTGTATCCATGGACATTACGAAAAATAACAACAACAATAAACCAGGGAAATGTGGTGATACAAGTTCATCTAGTAAATTATCAAATTACTCACTACTAATTAGTCTGACATCGTGGACTGCTATAATTTTATTTAGACAACAGCAACGACGGGTGATAAGATAACAAATAAATGCTTAAAGTGTATAAGTAAAAGAAAAACAAAAAAAAAAACAAAAAAAAATATGAAAAAAACTTTTTTCTTCTTTTGCTGTCATCGTCAATGTCGTGTCTCTCTTTTCCAAAAAAAAAAAAAAAAATAACACAAGAAAAAATATAAAAAGAAAAACTTTAATTCATTCTTCGTGTGCTTTCTTCGTGATATATCCATTTTGATGATAGTCAAGTATAGGTTAAATGATGATGATGGGGTGAAAATGAATGAATGAAAAATTCTTTTTGTATTGTTATAATAATGTAGAAAAGGAAGCTGAAAAATAACACGAGCTAAAAACTTGGACATCACCATACGTAAAAAAACTGTTAATATTAATAAAGAAACATACACAAGCAGAACGAGTATGTGCATATTTTGAGGGCTCAAATGAATATAATATACTTTTTGTGTTATGCCAAAAAGCAATGGAGTTCTTTTTCATCATCTCCATCGTTTGCCTCAAACATGATTATGATAAGTGATGACAAAGAAGAATTTTTTAAATCTGTTGAAGCTTTTATGAATGAATTTTGAGATTTGAATTCTAACTTCGCCTGCTGAAGATATTTGCTGTATAGTACAGAAGATTAAGATTCTGAATCTAACTCTTCAACAATATGTTAAGTAAATTTTTTAAAACATTAAAGAGAATGTAAATTTAGAAATTCAAGCCTAAAAATTCTTTCATTAAGTCCCGAATTCAAAATAATCTTCAAAGTGATGACAACGAACAAAAAACGGTATAAAATAAATAGAGAAAAAGCGATAAAAGAGTGTGTCTGAGAGTAGGAAGTGAGTAATAATAAAATATAATAATAAATTGGATATTAATATAAATCACAGAAGAAAAATACGGACTTGAGAGGGAAAATGAGAGAACATAGACAAACAGATCTCCGTATATAAAAAATGAAGAAACCACATAACTATATATATAAATACATACCATACATGATGATAAATAATTTTTGCTGACCAAGTCGAAAGTAAAAACATAAAAAAGGAAAAGAAGAAAAAAACAGTGAGAATGAAGTAAGAAAAAAATATTGATTAAGCTATAAGTTGTATAAGAAGATAAGGAGAAATGTGAAAAATACCCAGTGAATGAAACGTTTTGTAGCTATACATTAAAAGTATGTGTGATTTAGGGAAAAGGTGGGGTAAAAAATTTGAGAGATTTTTCACTATTAATTAAGATCGTGACTAATAATACATTAATATACCACACGAGAAAATATTTTCAGCTAAATTCCACGAACGGAAATTACCACTCGCAAAACTTATACCCGTGGCAACTAATTTTGAAAATATATTATTTGCCCTTTTTGAGGTTCAATATCATACTCTTAATTGGTAATGATTTGAAAGAGAAAACTTTTAATGAAGTAATTAGGTGTTTATAATCAGAAACATGAATTCAATTAGCAACGGAAAAGCTTTCATCTTTAAATGTAGACTAAAAATTTGTTTCCATTAGGATTTGGGTTTTTACTAGTTTGAAGTAAATTGAGTAGTCAAAGAAATGCTTGTGGTTACAGATTCATATTTTTAAAAAATATGAGCTTGTTAACCTTTAACAAAAAAATATTCATAGCTATTATGCCTATTAATTTGTATTTTTTTGAATTTAAATTAAACACCTTCAGATTGACAATTTTTAAAAGATCAAATAAATGTAAAGTTTTATATAAAGAACAAGAAATATCAACCAAACATGAAAGCAAGTCATTACCAATTAAGTGTTAAAGTGAAGAAGCCTTGTTTTAGAGGACATAACGAAAGCGAGAAAAGTCCTTCTTGTAATTAATGAAGAAGAAATAAAGTAACAGAAGTTTGTGGAAATAATAAGAAACGTGGGTAAGAAAGAAAACTCTCAATTTATACATATAAATCTTAAGGAAAAGCTTTTTATTTTCGTCCGTTCTAATACGGATGTAAGAAGGAAAAAAGTGATGATATAAGCCATTTTCAATTTAGTTTCCAAAACGTTTTTTATTGTCGCTATGTCGAGATAAATAAACTTTTTTTAAAAAATTCTCTAAATGTTTTATGGCCTCACTCATTCTCTCTCACTTTCTTTATCTTTTTCGACTACTTCTTTTTTTGTATCTATAGATTTTCATTCCAAACTCATTTTTATAACAAAAAAAAAAACAACAACAAGTCAAGATGAGAAATTCGATTTGAGAGGGAAAGAAGGAAGAAGGATGAAAAATAAACTAATTCATTTTGTTCCTTCCTTGTTTTGTTAAATTATTTGCTTTATTTTTTTATTTTATTCTTTGCGCGCGAGCGAAAAAAAACCTCGGAAGATGAAACGGGGGAAAGGGAAAATGGAATGATATGTAAATCTTTAAATCCAGACGTTTCCCTTTCGCTGACGACTTAACCTGGGTCATCTCACCCAGTTGAAATTTCTAGGATTTATATTTAGATATATTGAATTGATATTAACGTTAATGCTCGATTGAAATGAAAATAAAGAAAACCCCGAGCGGTACAAGCTGTGAATTTTTGTATTTAATTTGGCGCTACTGAGTCACAAATATTTGTGCCGCTCGGACAAAAAGTTACATTTTTGTTCTTTCATTCTCTTACGTTGTGCATCAATTTGTATTAATCAAATGTAATTGAGCAGTTTTGGATGACTTAGTAGAGATTTGAAACTGATTTAAGGGTCAATAACAATATCATAGAAATGTATTGAGGCTTAGCGATAAAATTCCAATTTTATGTCCAGCACAAAAAACAGTTCCATAAAATAATTTTGAGCCTCCACAATTTTAAAATTGACATTAAATTTCCATCATTACAAGCACTCTACTTTGCCTTCAAGTGTGAAATTGGCATTATTAATGCATGAATGATTTTTTATATATAAATATATTTTTTAAAGGAAAATAAAAATAATATGTAATGAATTAATTGATTAATTAGTAATTGTGAAAATAAAAAAACAAATTAAATAAAACCAATTATTGTCATTTGAACAATTACAAGTATGATAATTGAGTCGAATGAATGGATGAACGAATGAACGAATGGATAAAATGTGATAAAAAAAACTTTTCAATCTTATTACTATATCATCCTTGCGGCGATTTGCTGTGTTTGAATTATTAATCGAAAAATTTCATTACACGAAAAAAAAAATTTAAATTGAATATTTTGAAAACTGATTTTTATCGAATTTATTAAGAGTTTCAAGGATTTGCTGATTTAATCACTCGAATTATATTGCTTGACAAGCAATGCATTTGTGAACAGAAAATTTCACTTGTTTGAATTTAGGCAAAACAAAAAATAGAAAAATTAACACAGAACAAAAACCCAAAGGTCGAAATGTAAAAAAATTAAAACATAAATAAAATGATCATCCATGATAAAATTTAGAAACCTGTAATCTAAACAACAAAAATTTAAAGTATTCAAATTCGATCATGTGCTTAAGATTTTCATTGAAACAATTTGACACTCAAGTTTCAATAATAGCTTCAAATCTTTGTCTCAAATAAATTTTTTTAAAAACTTTAATTTCTCAGTTCAATGTTTTTAATCCTTCAATGGCTGGTAAGAACTTTTTGAATCCTCTGAATTAAAATTGCAAAAATAAAAATCTTAAGCATCAGTTTTCAAAATAATTTACTTGTAATTGTTCATATTTTCGTCATTTCCATTTATTATTTTGACATTTTAATAGAAACGCGATATAAAATGATTAAAAAACTTGTAAAGTGAAACAAAAGTAAAATAAGGATGATGAAAATCTATATAAAATTGCATTTAAGTAAGACGTAAAAGAATTAAATTTAGAAAAATAAAGAACACAAATTATATCCAGTATTTTACATACCAATCTCTTTTCGGTTCAACTTTTTATTTGTAAAATAAAAAAGTAAAAAAAAATGAAAAAAAAAATTCAATGAACATACCATGAAGATAAGAGATGATTAAAAAAGAATTCTTGTAATTTCAAATTTTCAAAAAAAAAAAATAATAAATGAGATCGGCAAAAATTAAAAATGAGAAAAACTTGGTGTATTATGTAAACTATACTAAATATTTTTATTATAACATGAAATAAAAGAAAGAGGAAAAAATTGATGAAAAATGGAAGCAAAATATTGTTTTATTGACCACAGCCAGAGAGTTTTTAATTAATTTTACAGCAAACAACATTTTATTATGTAGATATGTACATGAACAGTTTGAAAGGAGCAAGCAAACGTCAGCAGGAAGTCGTTAAAATGATGAGGGAATGGTAAAAGTTGCATTTTTAAAGAATTTTCGCCCTGAAGCATCTGAAGCTTTATTGCAATTTTCCTTCTATTGTTTGAATTTCCACTCCATTCCTTTTTAATGCCCTCAAACAATTTTCTCTCTTCTGTGTACTGTTGCGTTATGTAAAATTTGCATATTTTCTAATTAAGTGAAGCAGCAGCAGTATGGAAAGATGAATAAATGACTGAATGATGGTTGAAAATATTCCTTTCCTCTATATTTGCTTGTATGTTTGGCAAAGGAAGTGGGAAAATTGAGCGTAAACAACTCCCTCTTCTTACTTAAAAACTTCTTCTATAGTCTACAGATCAGATATTGTTTCACAGCAGTTTACGAGGAATTTACATTAAATTTTTTGAGAAAAATATTTTGAACTTAAGTTTTTTGTTGACTTCTCTGATCCGTCAACTTGACTTTGTAGTATTTTTCCAAGTATTTATGAGATTATTGATTGTTTCGACTACTTTTTTACGTTTTTAAAAGAGTTTCTTTGCAAAATTTCAAAGTGCTACTCTAGCACACTCCAGATCTTTAAAGCTATTGTCTATTGATCTATTTTTGGTTTAAAGTCAAACCTCTACTATATCAAGTATTCATCCCTTGCTCTCATTATTATTTGATTATCAAAATTAAAATTTTCTTCTTTCAAGGGAAAAATCTTTCAAAAAATTAAATTTCAATCAAGTTAAATTTAAATTAATTTTAAAGTATCAGCATCATTCCTATCCTCATACTACTACTCCCAACTGTATAAAATGAAAATGAAACAATTAAGTTTACGTATATTTGAGCATATTTCAATAATAACTAATTGAAATTTAAATTTAATTACACTTTTCAAGTTTTTTCTTACATTTTTCTCATTCCCTCAACATTCCCTCAAGAGAAGTTTTTTTTTGTTCTTATGTCGCACGATGTCTTTTTTTTACCAAGCACATCTTAATGTATATAATGTGAATATGGTATGTAGATTTATTCTATTGAATTTCCAACCCCACAATTATTTACCATTGAAACATAGCCAAAAGGGAGGATGAATTGATAATAAGGAATTATTTGACGTGCATGCGAATTCACCAGAAGAACCAATTTTTCCCTCACCGTTCCTTCATCTAAATGATGCTGATCGATCACTTAAACGTTCTGACATTAAACGAGCAAAAAAATTCTTTTTTCTTCTCCTTTCCTCTTTTCAGTTATAGCATCGTCCTCGTTTTGTATGAATATTGCATTTTAAGTTCAATCCCTTAAGCATGCAGTTTGTGTGTATTTATGGGATTTTCATTCAATTTCTTTTCCCCTTCGTTGTGCACACAACAGCTTCTCTCACATCCATTATTCCATCATCCGATCTTGAGTAATAAGTCATCAAACCGTAATGTGTATTCATCATCATCATCCTCTTATTCTTCCTTGTTCTTCCTCCCAATTCCTCATGCCAGTATCGTCATGAAAATGTCTTATTATTCTCATTCGATACAAATTTCTTGATGCTGAAAAATTATCAAACCATATGGATCCCTTCGAGCGATAAAAGAAAGAAGTTTAGAAAAAATTAAGAGATTTTCTTGAATGGAAAATAAAAAGTTGTTGTTTTATTCCTTATATTCAATTGTTATGTGGTAAACAAAAATTATTACCTAGATAAAAATCATTTTTCGGGATTGGAAGACTTGTTTCTAATATTATAATTTTTTTTAATAGGTTAGTTGAATAGGATGTTGGCTCTTACGGTATTATTATTAATTCCCAACCCTGGAAAATAGCAACAATATGATGGGAGGAAATTCTTTATCATAATTACTGTAAATAATTTTACCTCCGTTTTATTTGCTATACTTGTATGAATATCGCATCCATTCATCCCGTTTTTGCCAACACATCTATCTCCTTACTATCATAAAAATAATAGCAATAAACATATATGTGTGATGAATGAAAATAAGAGAACCCAAAGTTTTTTTTTTGTCTTTAAGCTATGAAAATTTAAGAACCTCACATAAACAAACAAGTTTGATATGAAAGAATGAAGAATGTTTGCGCCATTGGCAGTGTTCAATTTACTATTATGGTGCTTAGTAATGCTGAGTTGAGCATAATATTCTGCAAAGAATGAAATCTTTTGTGTAAAATGTAAACATTATATTGTGTGCATAAGATATATGAGGAACGTAACCAGAATGATTTTTTTTTCTTCAGATGATTCATTTGATGTGATTTTTCACTTCTCTTTTAAATGAAATTTAAGTTGATTATTATGTGAGTCATGATTATTCATTTAATTGCTATGAATCGTAATTTTTATGGAGACATTTCTAGGATGGATTCAGAATTTGTTATCTTTTTTGCAATAATTGAACTTAATAATTTGATTAAAATAAACTGAAGATTTGTGACACTAAATTAATATTGATTTGTTTATTTTTTTAAAAACTTTTTCCATTAGTTCATCCATATCACACCAGTATATTCAGGATAAACAACATAAAAAAAATCAATTCAAAAAAAAATACCTCCATCAAAAATATTCGTTCTCATTTTTCACAAATTCATTTTTTGAAAATGACATTTTTGTGCCGAATAACTGAGAAATATAAATATTTAATGTATGTGAGTGTGTATAAAAAATTTGGAAATTACAATCACGTACTGAGTTATTTATTATGTCATCATCAACAATATTGATGGACTGCTATTGTCAAAAACAAATATACTAATTGGATTTTAATATGAAATATCGCTTTCAACTTGGACAATTCTGCAATTTAATTAAAAGGCATATAAAATGTCGGGTATTTTTGTTGCCATTTTTCTGACGAAATGGATTTTTGGATGGATTTATGAGGATGACTTGTTTATGCTTTTGTAAATAATCCGGTTAATTTTTACAATACAAACAATTAGTTTTTACTAATCCTCAAATCTAATAGCTTGATATAAAAATTAAATTTTAAGTCAATTATTTGAATTCTTACAAACTTAAAATCATGCAAAAGCATGAGCAACACAATTATTGTGCATTCTATTAAAAAAATCAAAAAAGTTTCATTACAAAAACTTTTTCCAAACTATTTCAATTAAATACCTTCTTCTTCGCTTCAAAAAGTTATTCAAAAAATAATTTTATTAAAAGTGCTCAATCACCTTTTTGTGATTTTAATTAAAGAAGATAGTGTTAAGATAATAGGGTAAATACTTTTGAAAATTGCACACTTTTGAAATTTGCACACTCATATGAAAATAAAAAATACAAATTTCTCCCAGAATCTTTGTATAATTATTGTACAAATGCTGTTGTACCACTTTGAGTTGTTTAAAGGCATCAGGAAGATCAATTCCTTCAGCAATCAATTTTTCATACAAAACGAAACTTTGCAAAATATAAAGTTTTGGGATAGAATCAGTGGCTTTATCAAATATTTTGATATCCAAAAATGTAGCTCTTAAGCTGTTTAAAATTTTGGAAGTATTTCTTTTGTGAAAGAATAAGCGGAAATGCCCAAAAAATCACTTTTAAAAAACTTGTTTTTCACTTTTAAAATTTGCACAAAAATGTATCAAAACTATTAAAATTTGCACACTTTTAAGCTTAGGAGATATTGCGAAATTTGATGTAAACATTAATTCTTCTGATGTAAACATTAATTTTTCTGATTCAAAACGTTAATGTTTTATGCCTAAAATAAAGATAAAAGAGAATGGTGATTTTAAAAAATTAGAGGATATCTGAGGATATATTTTGGACATGTCGGTTATGAAGAATTTAATCTAGAAAATAAAGAAATGTGCTATGCATCTAAACTTTCGATACAGCAAGTTTTAATTCTTACAAAGAATAATTATAGATGAGTTTGAATGATATAACAAACAGCTTATATTTGAGATTTACTCGCACAACTTGATTTTGTAGATAATCCATATAATGGATATGCAGCTTTTCCTTGCATGATTTTTGTTCAATTTTCCTGTTGATATTCAACGACGATGCTTCTGACGATGTTATAAAAACACAATAACAATAAATTTATTGGATTTCTTTGGAACTTTCCGACGAAACATAATTTTTCTTCACCCTTAAAATTGTAAAAATATTGTTTGTTGACACAAATTTGATTCAAGAATGTCATGGATTGCTATCAAAAAAGTGTGCAAATTTCAAAAGTTTTTTGTGCAAATTTCAAAAGTTGAAAATAAAATGCAAATATCACTGCTGATAAGCATCGTAGTTTTAAAAAAAGGGTTGGAAATGAAAATTTTCACTATTTTAAATAGTTTAAAACCTTAACGAAGCCTTAACAAAGATCGATTAAAAAGTTTCACGTAAATGAAATTTTCATGAACAAAATTGTGCAAATTTCAAAAGTATTTACCCTAATCATAATAATATAAAATTAGATAAAAACTCTTTCAAAATGAAATAAATTTTTGGAGATGAGGATCAGGTTAAGGATTTTTTATTGGAAAACAAAAGAATGTAAATACAAATTTAAACAGATCAAATGCATTTTGTGTAATATTTGAATCTTTGCTTTTAAATATCAATATTCAAGAAAACGGCAGAAACATCAAGCGCATTCAACAAATTTAAGTTTCGATAATAAATCATGCCCATAAATTTTTTCAAGGCTTTGATCTTTCAATTTTCATATGGATCAAAAAGTTTATATTTCAGATATTTTTTTTTCAAGTTTTATCAATAAGGTCATTTGTTGATAAACTTAATACTCGTAGCATAAAATTCGCTTTACGCTAAAAATCAATGTTAGTCTCAAAAAATTATTTTTATCGTCTTCTTGCTCGCTTTTATCATCATTTAGAATATTTTCTAAAGCTCATTTTATACAATTTTTGATATGTATTAAAATGACATGAATCTATGTTTATAGCTCTTATGTGACATAGCATTGACTAACTGAAAAACAGGAAATATAGTGCATTACTCCTCACATATAATCACGATACTTAAAAAAAGGAGAAGAACATA